CAGTTTATATGCAGATTTCTTCTGGCAGAATGAGGAATAACATCTGCTGACCTTCTTAGCATCAGCTACAGAGAGCTTTTAGCACACAGTTTGTCCTCACTGACTTAACTGGACCCTTGTCACCATAAAAATTGTCTCACCTCTTCCCTGACACATGTACCCTATCTCACAAAAGACCAGAGAGTATTACAGTTATTGACAGAAAGCTGAGATTAAAAGAAATGCTGCTTGTCCTAAGAAATTCCATTTATTGCAGCTTGTCCCATTCCTTTTTAAGTTTCACATAGAGCCCAGAATTTTCCTGTGACTATTCCAAATCAAGTACCTGCATGAGAACAAAAAATCCAGAGGAATTCCTGTCCTAGAGTAAAAACTATATGCCATGCTGTACATCTGTTCACAACTGTTCTTTAGCCAGAGGGATTTCACCATCTTTGTGTTCAGAGGAAATTTGACCTAAAAATGTACATGATGTCCTCTTCACAGAGCCACGAACTGCTCAGGCTTAGACCTGAACATCAAAGTCTCTCACCAAGTTCAGCTCTCCACAGGTTCAATGTGGAGCAATTAAGACCTCATCAGAATGCTGAGGTGGCACAAATATCACAAATAATGCTCACTGTGTCACATATGCAATTAAAACAATAAAAACACCCCCAGAGATGTCCAAAGAGCAAGGACAGAGGAGATAGGCATAAATAAACATTGCAGAGGTGGGCAAGGGCAGAGGGATCAATACCTGTGCAAAATTGCTGATTCCTACTGTACCAATGCCGTTTTCCACAGATACCCACTCGTGCTTGTCTGTGAACTTGCGGGCTAAAAGGAAACAAACCTGGCATTTCAGAAAGAAGTGACACGTTGCTCGCTTAAACACAGTAAACACATTTGCAGGCTTATACTGTGGGGCTTTTCACTGAGCTTGTTCATTTCTCTTGGAAAATATTTTAACCAGTACATGCAATTTACAGAGAAGCTCAGAAGACGCTCAGTGACAGGGCAGAGGCTCACTGGGTGTCCTGCTCAGAGTATTATCAGTTCCTGTGCAACCATCTGGAGACTGATAAAGTGCAGGAGCACGAAGAGCAGCTCTACTTCAAACAGAAGTGCAAATCTAAAGCTTAGATGTGCATTTTACTCGTAGTTATACATGTCTGTGACAGCACAGTGGCTTTTCAAACATATTTAGTGTTTATTTCTGATAACTACTTATTGTGGCTGGGAAGGCCAGTGTTGGTGTCTCTAGAAACACTGTGAGCTTCACAGCATCTCATTAAAGTGCAAAGCTGGCACAGTTCTATGTATTATTAAAGCAAATTAATACAGGACAAATTAATAGGGCAACTCATACAGACAACTGCTACTTAATAGAATTGCTCTCTGTTAATATTGTTACTGTGAGAAGAACACATTAGTTATTCTGTATCTCTACAAAATAGGCCTGTTAAAACCTTGTTAAGTCTTTTCACAGCAAGATTACAATTCTCCTTACATTTCAGATCTGGAAGATTCAAGACAGCTTTATTAGAGGCAATTGTTTTTATAAAGTCATATGGAGAAACTTCAAAGGAAGTAACTGAAGCAAGCAACATTTTTCTTGCTAACATTTTTCCTGGAACTTTTCTTACTCTGAGAATTTTCAGCCTGCCATGTCCATTTTCTCATTTCTAATAATATCCTGTAGATACCTTCCTACTTAACAACAAAAAAAAAGTTTTTATTTTCCACTTGCAGCACCCATCCAGTGCAAGGGATGTTGCAAAAAATGGAAAAGGTAACTTCTGAAACAGCTGCCTGAGCAATAAGTACAGCTACACCTTCCTTTTGAGTTTAACTCTCCTCTCAAGCTCATCCTGTGGGCTGAACTCTTTAAGGCAAACACCAGAGAAACTACACTTCTGCAAATCCTTGTATATTTTCTAAAATTGTACACGAAGGAAAACAGAAGCTCTCACTGCAGACCTGCTAAAATCTTTCCAGACAGTCAATACTTTAAGCTTCTTCAGTTGCAGTGATCCTCTTGTGTGAAAAGTTCAAGAGTAGCAAGTCTGAGATAAAACTGTTTGTCTTAGATAGGGCCCGAATTTTATAGAGCTCAGAGAACAATATGTGGGTTTGCAAGTATAATACACAAACAAACATAAGTGAACTGTAAACATGAAGTATTTTCTTCTGAATTATCAGTCAAAAATGCACAGAATTTCACCTAGCACTGTTTTCTATAACTACAAAAAATCTCATGACACGCTCTAATGAACAGTCTTAAATGTCTCAAATCATTTCATGTCAAGATGCTATACCCACGGGGATTCTATTGGAAATGAGCAATGAACTGTAAGAATGGAGAGTGACAATTGCCAAATCTCAAACTCAAGCTGAACATCAGTGATGTTACACAAGGCACAAAGAAGCCAAGCAGCACATTTTTATTCAGGATAATAATAGTGTATAGAATCTGTTTATAAAGCAAGGCTAATAAAAAAACCAGAATATTTTCACACCACTTTGGAATACAGCAGTGAAATGTCCCAAACAGTTAGAAGAGCACATAACTTTCTTGCAGGACAAAAGAAATAAAAAAAAAAAAAACCAACAGACCAAAACAAAAAAACCGTGAAAAATTAAAATTCTGAGCATGCAACAAAAACCACTGCAAATGAAGTAAAGGTCAAATTAAAAACAGTTAATAAGTAATCTCAAAATTTGAACTTTGAGCTTATGTGGTCAGCCCATTAAATAAATCAACCTAAAGGAATATGAGATGTCAATGCATACCAAATCTCCCTCTGCATTCTTTTACAGAAGAGAAGCTGAATTTACTCTAGCTTCATTCATTTCAACAGGACTTTGGTTTCAGCTTAACTAGCACACTCTGAACTCGGCCCTTCATTTAGTGTAACCTGCCTCTATTAAGTATTTCATATATACCTGAAGAGTGAACTCACACCTCCACAAAGAGGCATACAGAACTTTTCCTCTCTGCTTCAAACAAAAGTACAGTTATTCCTTCAAGTGATGTGTATGGAAAAACAATGGGTACATTGGCCAGAATAGTGAAAAACAGCTTAGATCTTGACTCAGTTTGCAAGTAATGAACAATAGATAATATTTCTTTCACTTGCAGCAGAAGGCAATTAAACAGGTAGGTTTAAGATAGTCTGGAAAGAAATGGATGAGCTCTTCTTAGTGGTAGTCATTACTTTTACAGCCTGTTCTCCTCCTCTTGCCTACTTTTTAAACATTTCTATTTGCTAGAGTACCACAGATTCTGTTTTTCAGACTTTCATGCGTAACTTCCGTTCAAAGAGAGCTTTGACAGCAGTAGATGCTTTCAGAGTTAACTACACCAAATGCAAAATCACAGCAAGCACTGATGCACGAGTCCATCCCCTGCAGCTGCACAGGAGCCAGAGCCAAACTTGCGCAGCCCAGAGCGGCTCAGGGCCCTGCAAGCCTGCCTGGGTCTGTCTGTGTGCCCACGCCAGTCCCCGCTGCGGCTCTGCCTCCGCTGCCCCTTTCTTGTGCTGCTGATGCTCCTTGGAGCCAACTCCGAGCTGTTTGTGAGCGCGGCGATCCCGGGAAAAGCGATCCGCTATTCTGGGCAAGCTGGTGCGCTCCCCGCTCGGCCCACTCTGCGAAGTCTCTTTCTGAGACCAGAGGGGACTGAGCCGCTTTGCTCAAAGTGTGGAGATGAGGTTAAAACTTTCTAGCCAACTAACGGAGGTGCAGGTCTCCTGTGGGAGCGGGGTCGGGAGCGCCAGCAGCGTCCGGGGCAGGTGAGGGGCGCTCGGGGGTTCAGCCATCTTGCGAGCTTCTCCGGGCCCCGCCGACACCGGGGGGCTCCGGGCGGCTGCAGCATCGCGCTCCGAGGGGCCGCCGGGACACGGCGCGGGGCGAGGCAAGGGAGGAGGGAGAGATAGAGGGAAAGAGGACGGCTGCCGCCCGGGGGACCCGCGCTCCGGCCGCTTCGCGCACCCAGTCGCGGCTGGCGGGGGCTCCCGGGCCGGGGCGAGCCCCCACAGCCCACCCTGCCCACCCTCCACAAGCACCACCGGCTCCCCGCAGCACCGGGCCGCTGTCCCGCCCGCCCGCCGCGCACCTCCCTCCCTCGGGCCGCCACTCACCGGCCAGCAGCAGCGAGCTGGTGCCCAGCCTGCGGGCCGCGGGCTCCCGCGGCGGCAGCGAGAGGAGCGGGCAGCGCGGCGCCAGCACCGGCCCGACCCGCCGCAGCGCTCGCCACGCCATCTTTGCCGGGGGCGGGCAGGGGCGGTGCCGGCAGGAGGTGGCGATGGCGGCGGGGCGGAGCGGAGCCGGCGGTGGCCGAGGGGATCCGTGGGCTCGGGGGAGCGGCCCGGGCCCGGGCTCGGCTCCGCGCCCCGCCGGCAGCGGCGCGGGGCCCTGAGGGAGGGCAGCCGCCATGTTCCGTGCTCCGCCGCGGAGGAGACGGAGAGGATTTAGCCAGACAGTGCAACAGCCGCTTATTTATTGAATAAATACAGGGGCCAAGTCTACAGCAAGTGCACGTGGGACGGTTCGCCTTCGGGTTACCGCTATTTCTTAGCTATTACTCCAGAATAGTGCCGGCAGCACTTTAGGGGTGAACACCGCGTCGTTTTCCCAGAATCGCGGAACAGGCTGAGTTGGAAGGGACCCGCAAGGATTGAAGTCCAACTCCTGGCCTTGCAGAGACACCCCAACAATCCCACATGGGCCTGAGAGCATTGTCCAAATGTTTCATGAGCTGTCTTAGGCTTGGGGCCTGCCCATTCCCTGGGGAGCCTGTTCAGTGCCCGAGCACCCTCTGGGTGAAAGAACCTTCTCCTAGTATCCAACACAAACTTCCCCTGACACAGCTCCAGCCATTCCCTTGGGTAAACCCATTTTAATCAGAAGCTGTAATAACCTAAGCCCATAGCCTAACCTAACTAACCAGTGCAGCTGATAGCAAACAAGTAAATAATTTGCCCACAAGCAAAGTGACTTTTCAAGGTGGTCTTCCTTCACTCGCTGACAGGTTGCTCCAGTTGTTCGCCAGTGACCAGCTTCTCTTCCTTCTTGCATTTTATCCCAAAGAAACTGAAGAGTTTCATTAGCATTAGATCAACAATCTCCTCTTCTTCTGAAGCCTGAAATAATAACAAATGAGTTACTCAGAGGATTCAGTCTCAAATTGGATTCAGTCTCTACTGAAGCCAGGGCAAGTTGCGAGACAAAATCTCTGCTTGAGGTGAAATAAACCAACTTTCAGCAGAGCATGAGTGACTGCCAAGCAAAACATTGTGCCAGTATTTTTATCCAGACAGAACCCCAGATGAGTATGGACACTACAGAAATTTTGGCTGTTAAATCCCATGGAAATCTCTCTACAGGAGCCAGGAGTAGCCCATACAGCTCCCATACAGCTTGTGGTATACACAATGAGACACCCACAATTTCAAGATGAAGTAAATACGAAAAACTAGATTTATATTGTATTCTATCAACCATATCCTTTGTTTTCATCTCCCTTGACTTTATTTAAAACATAGAGGAATTCTGGGCAGTACTGGAGTGTTAAGATGGATTTCACACCACACTATCAATAGCTTGAATGGGTCAGGCACTCACAGTGAGAGTTTTAAAAGGAGCTGTAAAGCCTCATGCACTTCAGTAGCAGTTTTGGCACTGATTTCAATACAGCCCAGCACAAGCCTGAGTTTTTTGATGGATGAAGTATGTGAACAGAAGGCTACAAATCACATCTGAGCAGGGACTCATCTGAACAGGAATGGACAGGGTACATCTGAAAAATCTGAAGTGTACTTTCTGAGCAAATGTTGCCTTCTTAAGAGTTGGACTGAATTTTCATGGCTTTCATCCATGGTTGAATACCTGAGTAAGCACTGAGCAAAAAATGTTAAAAGCTAGAGAGCTTAGATGAACAAACCTGGTAATGCTTTTGCTCCTCACTAAAAGCAACCAGAATCACCGAAATGAACAGATTCAGTACCACAAATGTCATAAAAATGATGCAGGATCCAATTAAGAAGGAGCCTAAAATTGGATTGTAGTCCAAGACCTGTATAATGCATAAGGTAAGACATCAAAAAACAAACAAAAAAGCATACATTCCTATCTACATACATACAAGCAGTTAAGACCCAATAAGAAGTCTATCACCTTGAAAATCGTGTGTCTAATCAATTATGACATATGTATTATATACATATATAAATTTTCTACTCTAGTGTTGTCCTTTGTTGATATGATATAGTACAAAGACAACAGAATATTTTAGATATATATGTGTGAATATGCGCAGTCTTTGGGGGGTTTTAAGTATTTGCATTTAATTGTAATGGTATGACAGTTTCACATGAAAGTTGACAAGTCTGGAGATCTGTTTATCCACAGAACAGCTGAAACTTCTAATGCCTCAGCTTTCAAAATAGGTGAAATCCCTGTATGCATTTCATTAATTTTACTGTATGCTTTACGAAGAAGCACAGTCAGACTGTCAGAGACACTTATAAACCAAGGGTTGTGAAAAATCAAAACACTAATTTTTATATAAGCTACAACATAGGAGTATATTTTAATTATTAATATGAGTGGGATGTAGAGGTGAAAATGTGCCAAATTACTGATCTTCAAAGCCACCCATATCCTATTGGATCCATGGTCTAAAAACATCCACCAAGGAGGACTTCACAGTCAGAGATGTCCAAGAATTAATCCACAAAGAATTTTTCAAAGGATATTGAAATATTTGAAAGATCTTACTAAAAAAGTGTTATATAAAGAATAGTAAAAAAAATTAATATAAAGTTCCCTTGTGGAAGGCGTTGCCTTTCTTGGGAAGACAGAGGGTGTGTTCAGAAGAAACACAGGGTTTCTTCACATTTCTGTCTATAGCTTTCTAAGGAAATTGCTCAAAACATTTTGTAATCAATTAGTAACAGCTCTAGTTGAAATTTGAGCAAGATTCTTAATGAAAGGTTCATTATGAGCTTCCTCGTGGTCAAAATAGAACATGAAGGAGGTTTCACTTGCTGTCCTTGTCTTGCTCAGAATGGGTGACTGCTTTAGGGAGCTGTGGAGCTTGCAAAATTAGATTAATGTTTAACACTAATTGAAAGTCCTATTTGCTGGGTCAAAGCATATTTGATAGCTGAGATGCCAGTTGTATGGCTGTAAACTTCTCAGAATTAGATGTGGTACCTCCTCATAGTTGAAGATTCCCAGCTGAAGACTGACCATGGTCTCTGCCGAATCAAGGAGGGTTTTGTAAGAGTAGAGCTTCCAGCCAAATATCAGATTTGCCTGCAGAGGACAGAAGCCATGTCTTGTGTCATGATCAGAGCCCTTGCTGCAAAGTATGTTTAACTTGAGGACCTTTTATCATGGATATGAGAATGTCTTATAACTGCTCAGCCTGCCACTAGATATGTAAAAATGATAATTATTTCCCACTTACAAACTAACCAAACAGAAAATGGCACTTCCTGAATGCTCCACAATTTAAGCTTTATCCAGAAAATCTTTTTTCCTGTACTTCGTTCCTTGTCACGTCTATTACACATAAAGAGTCCTTATTTTTCAGTTCAGTGTTTGATTTCAGTGCAAAATTTCAGTTTGCAAAGAACAGAGTGGACGTTTTAATTTCTCTTTCACTCGTATGGAAGACTTGGGCTCCAAGCTGCTGAACTAAGATATAGATAGGCAGCTTTATTCCATTTTACATGGCAAAGGTATGCTGCTTTTGGAATTCAAAATTGGTTGATTTAACCCAACAGTACCTGGGAGCAGACTGCAGACAAGAGAAATTACCATGGTACTCACAGCAATGGAATAGGCAAGGAACATGATTGCAATAACAGTGATGAATCCAGAGATATCACCCCATGCCCTCCTTAGGGTTGAAGTGATCATGTTCAGTTTAGGGTTGAGCCTCAGCAGATGCCACAGTTTCACTGTGGAGAGAAGCACCAGGAATGCAATCAGGTAGCCAAGAACTGCATCAGCTCTTGCTGTTTCACTGAAGCTTATAGATCTGTTAGGAAAAAAAGGAAAATACATAATATACCATGCACACAGAATCCTTTGAAGTGCATAAATGGGTGTACTGGAAAAGCCAGTCACCCTGTTCTGGGATTTCAGTAGAGACCTGGTGAGTTCCTGCTTGAGTGTTCCCACCTGCACTTCCTACTGTGTGCACACAAAAAACTCAGTTTTGCATGGCTAAGATTTTTAAGAAGAGGAGATCGAGGCTGTAGCCCAAATTCTGCTCATTATCCTGTGATTCTATAATCTCTTTCCTGTATGACCATTTGTTAAAAGATGTTATAATTTTCCATTCTGCACTAAATATTTCATTATTATCCTCTAATCAATGGCTTTTTACAACAAAGAACAAGGCAGATTATGTGCTTTCTGGCTGGATGTCCTGTAGCAGAAAGGCTTGTTGGTTCACAAGAGGATGATGCAGACAGGAAGGGAACTTGGTGCTCAAGTCTGCTGGATTTTATTAGAGCAGTATCAGAAGAGAATCCTATTGCTGACAAATCTAAGCCCTGACACACTTACAGGCTTCATGAATAAGTAACCATCTAGGATAGCAATATCTAGCATGGAAAAGGTGCTATCTGGGAAGAAGAAAAATAGATTTATTTCTGCATAAGGAGCAACAACAAAGGATGCACTAAATAGCATTAGTACTTACTCCTCCTTGTGTTCCTGGTAGTAGCTGATGTCCCTGGTCCCAAGGACTGTCCGTTTCACAAACACTGACAGAGCACTCCAGCTAATCAATATAATGGCCATCTCCAGGAGATTCCACTTGCTGTGGAAGTATCTCCATCTCAGACTCTTCAGCAGCTTTCCCTGGGAGGAGTTTTACTCTTTCAATCTCATGACTCCATATCACACAATGCACCTCTGAAGATTGGGGCAATGCCCTCCACAATAAAGCAGACTGCTCTGCATTAATAAAACACCACCTACACCTTGCACTAGTATCTTTATATTATCTATTCAAACTATTCAAATTATTCAAACTATTCAACCTATTCAGCTATTATCTTTCTCAAAACCAGCATTCAAGGCAAATAAAGTGTTGCCTTCTTATTATTTAATACTGACACTGTACTTGATTCAATCTTCCATTGGTGTAACAGCATCAGTGCTACTGAAATCAAGTACAGTCCTAAAGCTTTTGTAAGTGAAATCAACAGCAGGCACAAGGTGATGCTCTCAGGCAGACTTTCCAGTGGGCCTCACCTGTACTATCATGTAGTACACAATGAAGAGGAAATAAATGACTTCTGCTGCAACCACAAAGATGTGGAGGCTGTCGGTGTAGGGGTACAGCCGGACACTTTGCAGCTCTGCACTTGTGAAGAAGGCCCCTGAAAAACAAACAGGGGTCACCTCAGGGCTCCTTCTGCCTTCATTCAAACAACTCAGCTCACCAGTGAGACTTCTGTACTTGCTTTCACATCAGTGTGAGGCTAAATTCAACCATCAAACTGAGAGTTAGATTTGACTATGTGAGTAACCCTGTAAGGGTTTGAAATTTTCCTCAAACAGGAATTTCAGAGAATCAAGGCTTTTAGAGTGGTAGTGCTTGTCTGCTTGAGTCTTGTGTGATAGCATAATAGTAAGCCCAGCAGGACTGAGTTTGGATTGGACTGCAAATACAGAAATACAGCAGGAGGACTTGAAATTTTTTTAAAAAGCCTAATCTCATTCTAAACCCAAAATGAGCTCAGTTCGGGCATTTTCCAATACTTGGACACACCCTAAGGAGGCTGCTGCTCAGACTAAATGTTTTCTTATAGCCTCTAAACCAGAATCTGCTTTCACTCTTCTCTTTGTTGTATCCAGATTATGTATTACATGATTACATAGCTAGACATTAGAAGTCATCAGGAACAAAAAAGACAGACTGTTATTTTTGCATTTTTGTCCTTATTGATTAGCTGAAGTGATTAGGAAACAGAATTTTTCTCGTTCCTGTTGTGTAAATTCTTGAGGTCAAGTTTCAGTGTCATGTTTTCATCATCAGCAGATGACCACAGCATAAGCAAACATAAGATATTCCATTGTGGTCTATATTACTGTGATGCTGCATTTTTCCTAAAAGGTTTAGAAAATGTGCATTGATTCTCTCATGATTGGATTTATTAATACACTTCTGTTTTCTGAAGAAAGAACCAGGAAAACACTGATAGTGTGTAAATCTACCTTCTGTAGGTGCATTTCTTGCTGTCTTCAGAAATGTGTAACTTAGGAAAGGCTCTCACCTAAAGCATTGCTTTCAAACATCAGGCTTATAATGCAGAACAGGTTCACGTTGGCATTGTAGACTGTAAATTCAACAAACACTGCTCTTGTGAAGGTGTCAAGCCAGACATTGTTGAAAAGGTACTGGAGAATTCTGCCAAAAGAATGTGTAGCCAGTGATCTAATTCACACAGGAATGAGAGAGTATTACATGGAAGATGCACTGATAATTTACAAGAACACAAGTGGTACCTGGAGGCGTTTTTAGGGTCAGTTCCCAGGTGAATCACATATCCCCCTCCGCTGTAGATGGCAAGTTTACCCCAGCTGGGGTGTCCTCTCAGCTTGGACTGACTCTGATACTGCCATGCTGAGCTCAACTCAGAGGAGTTATCAAGGGCTGAGGTATTCCAGTGCTCCCCATAAACTGAAGTATCTTCTGTCTGTAAGGAGTATGGAGCATGGCATTCCTCAACTACGTGCTGGAGTCTGGGAGAAATGGGGCAGGTGTCTCCTTTCACTCTTACTTGGCGAATTCGAGCACTACCCACCAGCTTGGAATTGCCATCTGTAATGAATCCTAAACAGGAGATGGAAAAGAGCAGCACTGGCAGTATTACAAAATTAATAATATTTCTTCATTTCATTTATGATTCACTGATGCATTAATATTTTGCCATATATTCTTTTCTCAGAAACAGTGTAAGCAAAATAGTCATGAAAATGAAACCCTCATATTGATTTGAACTGAGTTCTTAAATAACATTCACAATAACAGAGTTCTGTGTCACCCCCATCAGTATTTTATACACAGGGAAAGTGAGGCCTGGGGGACAACAAGAACAATTCTGCTAATATATTTCAATATTTACCCTTAAATGTGAGCTGGAAAATGAGTCATATTTTACTGGATGTGGCTGAATAGAAACATGCTAGTGCTGCATAATTTGCCTTCACATTGACTCAAGTCATGATGTAAACAACTCTCCTGAGGAAAAGCTTTATGGTGCCATCTGTCTGCCATTCTTTTTTTTTTTTTTTAATTTATGTAAAAAACAGTTGTGAAAAATTGAGGATATATCCAAATATCTGGAATAAGTAATGTAAAATGTGAAACATTTAGCATTGCAGTACAGAAATTTTAGGTTATATTAAACATAAGGAAAATATTAAGGGATGTTTAACTTGGGGTCAAACTGTGGCATTTTGTTATCCACGGGTATTCATATTACAAGATTCCTTGCTAGCCTCATACACTCACAGTCCCTTTCTCCACTCAAATATGAAAGTTAAAGATAAGTACTAAAAATAATGTTTCAGAATCTGGCAAGTTGAAGGGAAACAATATGACTCTGCACCTTTATAAGATCCATAAAGATTTTTGAGTAAAGTAGTGTTTGCCCACGTGAAGAAATCCTGGTAACTGTAGACATCATGGAATCCATCTGTAAAGCTGTCTTCAATGTGTTTGTTTAAATAGTAGGAATTGGGATCTCTCTGCCCATAGGCCACCAGTAACAGCATCCATAAAAAACCCAGATAGGCTGGAAAAAAATCAGAAAGAGACAGCACATGTGAGCTCTGGCTTAACAATGCTGTTCAGCACAGATTGCATGAATGATTACTGCTGCCAGCAGCCATTAGGCCAAGGAGGTGCTTTGTAGACTCTGAGTGACCAGTGCTAAGGAATGCACCCAAGCTGCTTCAGTGAGCTGCAGTTTAAGTGTTTCACATTTGGAGTACGAGTAGCAGTCAAGAAAATAAGTGGGAAGGCTGCATAAGTGTAGTCATGGTAGCTCCAAATAAAATGACTAGTCTAACTTTGTGCTAAGTGAAGTTGAGGTTGGTTTTTTGTTATGTTTTTTTTTGCCATTGATTTTAGAGGAAATAAAACAGGGGCATAAATCATTATCTGTTGATACTATCTGCTTTTAGAAAGATGGCCTCCATCTGCTCTTTGTTTTCAGCTTCATGTGCACCTCCTCCTTTTATCCTTTCTGCTTTTCTTTAATCTCTTATGTTTGTGATGTGTTTCTTTACCATAAAATGAAGCCTTAGCCACACTTTTAGCTCCAGCTAACATTCCCACCTCCCTGCAGCTCCAGCTGCCAGGGAACAGCCTGTCTCTACATCATAACGGCTGGCAGAAAGCTGAGGATATGCCAAAACTTTGTCACCCAAGAGAACAATATTTTCACTGATGTAAAATTACTGATGAGTATTACTGAATAAAACAAGATAATCTACATATGGGTGATACCCAGGATTTCTCTGATGAGGGCAAATGCTTTCTGCTCCTTCATGTAGCTGATTTTCATTTTCTCCACATCAGCCGCAGGAGGTGGCCGGTAAATGTTGCTTCTACTGTCCCTTCTGACCCCGAAGAGAGGGTGTGAATCACCTGTGAGGGAGAGCAGTGAAACCTGGAATTAGTCAGTTGATATCCATGTCCTGCTTTTTGTTTGTTTGGAGCATCTAAGGAAACATTTTTATCTAATGCTTCCCCTCAGGAATACAGAGGATGTGATTTAAACAATTACTATAGCAATTGTAAGGCAAACAATGGGGAGGGAAGGAGCTCACAAAAACTATGCTGGGTTTAGGAGCAGGCGTGGTCCAGGTGTCTCTCTAAGCTGAGCATCTCACAAGGTGGTGTATTCATGGCCTGAGGCTGAGCAGGGAGGAAGCTGTAGATCAGATAACTTTGCTGTGCCCTAGGATTCATGTCTGCTAGTGAAGGCTTTATTTAGATATGATTATGACTGCAGAAGCCACTGCTCAGTTTAGGGGAATAATACAGATAATTGTGGCAGTGGAAAAGTATGTAACCTGAGAACATCCATACAGGGCTTAAAGGATGTGGGAAATTTCTTGTGAGAGGTTTTAGTTATGCTTATCAGATAAAGACCTACCAGTCCACATGAAGGGTGAATTTTTTACTGGTCACTTATTTATTTTAACTAAGTTGTGGAATAGTTACAGCTTTTATTGCAAGCCAGTTGAGCTTAGTATTTGTGCATAAAGAAGCTCCAAACCTTGGAGAATTCTGCACTTTCTTTAATATTTTTAACTTTGCAGGCAGTTACCTGGTGCAGATAAAGGTCCATCAATAGCTGTGTTTTCTTCATCCTCATGTTCCACCTTCTTCAGAACCAGAGCAAAAAAAGCAGCAAATCCCAGCACCTGGAAAGAATCACTTATAGACTCACCATATTCCCATATTTCATATAAAGAAGCTCAGGCTTTGACCTGGATCCCTTTGCATCCAGGCACTGCAGGAAAACAACTGTGCTTTGTGTTTGCTGAACCCATGCAGCCCATAAACAAGAGAAGAGTACACAGTGCTGGGGTTTGTCCAGCTAAACTGATTCTGTGACACATCCTCCCTAGTCAGAAACCTCATAAAACCCTGACAAAGCAAGGGAGATGAGACTAATGGAGCTAATGTCAGCAAAAACCATCAGAACTCTAAATCACCTGCCTGCTCTTGTTTTAAGGGCAAAGACTTCTCATTTTATATCTTAAGTCTTGCAGCTCTTTAGAACATTTTACATTGTCTTCCTGCAATGACAGCAGGTGAGTTCATCTTGACTGGTGGTTGTATTTCTGAGGCTCTCACCTTTAAGGGCTGTGTGATGAAAAGACTTTCCAAGAAGGAGATGACCATGGAGATGAGCCACTTGATGGAGTTCTCCTTGCCGTAATGGAGTCCGTAGAGCATGGTGAAGAACCCGGACACACTGCTGGTGGCTGCCACAAGGAACCAAGCAATGAACACAAACCACCAGGGCAGCCCTCTAGGAGAGCTTTTCTTGTTATCACTGGACAAGTTTGGACTATGGGACCACCTTGAGAGTGAACCAGAAGAGAAAAAAATCATTCTGTGATGGAACATGAACCAAAATCGCAGTCATGAGGTTCACTGGGAATAGGCAGCATCTTATGATATAAAATCAAAATATTCTTTTAATTAATGCAGTTATATAGGATATATGGATACCAAAAAGTACAGTGAGAAACCATAATGAAGAAGTGTGCAGAGATCAGCTAAAATCAAAATAAATGTGATGGGTTTCTTTACTCCTCAGTTCATGCATAATTGAATCTCCAGTAGAATTACTGACAAAGCTATGAGTGCACTAAAGCTGCTGAATGCCTCTCTTGCGATCACCATAATGGCCAAGTGACATAATTAGTGCAATTGTTTTCAATACTTCCAACTTAATTATCATATTTCACTGAACTATTTTTGTCTGCTTATTAATTTTTCTTTATCCATACATTTTAAGAGACTTCTGTGACTTTGGAGCTGGGTGATTATCCCAGCCCTTTACTATCACATAGCATTTATTGTAACTTTCCACTTTGGAGGTAAAAATGACAAACAGCAATGATCTGTCATTATTGCCTTTGTTTGCAGTTCACAGTGCATGGAAATTTCTTTGTAGCTCCTGCAGTGGTATAATAGTAAGAGTTCTTTTTACAGATGTAATAATAGTTATCTAGCACATGCTAAGCAGTAATTATTTGGGCTCTGTCATCCTGTCCAATTTTGAATTCATGACCTGAATTCACTTATACTTAGAATGAGAACTGGGTTACCCTTCACTGATGGATGCTGATGAACAGATTTGGTTCTCCAGGAGGTTCTTCATGTGCTGAACCTGACAAACAGCTTGTGTGTAACTCTGAGGCATCTGAAATTTATGGGGTCCCAGTAATTCCAGCTCCATCTCTACATGCTGGAGTTGCAGGTACAAGCAACGATGGTAATCACTGTATTTCAGCTGGTCACAAATTCTCTTCTCTGGAGTTGGACTTCTTGTTTTTTCTGCAGGCAAAGAATTATTTATTTATTTATTTATTTGTTGAGAAAATAAATAGATTAAAACACTGCTCAGTACAAAGGGTGGTTTCTCTGGAGCTGAAGATCATGAATGTGATGAAGTGAAGACTAACATATGAAAAGACATATAAAAGCAGCTTTAGTACTAGAGCTTAATGCTTTAATGCTCTTCTGCTGGAATGGCCTGGAACTTTTTCCAGAAAGCAACTGAGTTAAACAGCATTCCTAAAATCTTAATAGACAGGTCAGATCAGATCAACTGTTAATTTGTTCATGGTTTACCTGTGCAATGAGTACCTTGGAAGACTCCCTGGAAAAGCTAAATGTGAGTGTTAATGAAATCAGTGAGATTGTTTTGTCATATATTCTTGTTTGAGAGGCAGACTGAAAGGAACAGCAGCACAAGGCCAAGAAGAAAAAAAAAAAAAAGACAGGTCAAAGAATTTGTGAAAAAATTGGTATTTGTGAGTCTTTTCATTTGTAGATGCTGATCCAGCTCCCAAGCCAGACTGGTAGCAAACATTTGATTCTACAGCATAAGAAACAGAGATTTCACAGTTGTCTTTACTTAGTTGGGTGCTCAGTGGTGCAGTGAAAGAACAAGAGGCAATGGGCACATCTTAAAACATGGGAAATTTCTGAACATAAGAAAAAAATGTAGATATTGGACACTGGAGTAGGTTCCTCAGAGAATTTGTGGTCTTCATCCTTGGGGACGTTCAGCATCTGGCTGATTTGCTCTTGGGCAATCCTGCTCCCGCTGACCCTGCTCTGAGCAGTGTGGTGGGATCCATGGATCCCTTCTAACCTCAGCTATTCTGTGATTCTGTAGTTGCCTTTGAGTCAGAATGTAAGAAGGACTTGGGTCATCACATCCAGTGCTACCATAATTTTCATTGCAAGGGTTTCAACAGGTATTTCAGAGTGTGTTGTTTACCTTGGACATCCATAGCACCCAATGTGACAATTATAGGGCCATCCTTCTTGCTGTCATCATAAAACCCTTGCCCAGCTCTGTTCTGCTGACAGATGACATCCTCAACCACTGACAGGAGTGAGTTGATATTAGTTGATTTTTCAAGGTCTGGTGCTGAGGTGAGAGATGGAGTCTTCAGGGCTTTAAAGAGTGAGTTGGCAATTCTTCTTATGTCCTAGGAAAGACAGCAGCAACACAGCAGTGACTCTGGCTGCAGTGGCTTAAGCTGATGTGATCTGACAGTACCACTGGCTGGGAGCTGCACCAACTGCTAAAATCTCCAGAATGGATAAGAATAGCACATCCTACAGTGCTGGATGTGACAGGCAGATTTCAGTGAGTTCAGCAAGGCAGCTTTTGTGGTTCAAAAGGGCAGCATGCCTGCCTGAGGACCTAAGCTGAGAAAGATGTGGTCCATGATACCTTTTATCTTCACTGTCTTGCTTAGTGTTTGCTTTAACGCTTGAACACAGTGATTTGGTCACACACAATAACTGTGCAAGGGCTGGGATGTACAAAGGCAGACTTTAATGAAGGATTGCATTTAGGTGAGCACTTTGCACCAGTGGTAATTGGCTTTTCTCTTCAGACAGGCTGAAGGGCATCGGAACAGGGAAATTTGTGGAGCTGGGCAAACCGGTGGTATGTGGCAGCAGAGGGCAGTGCAGGACGCACTGGGACTTGCCTTTGTCACAGCCTCTGGAGTGAGAGAGGCAGCCTGGGAGGCCTCTGGGGTGGAAGGCAGGCTTGGGGACACTCGGCCATTCTTCTCCGGCTTCTTCTCTCTGCTCTGCTGGGCTGGCCGGGGTCGTATGTTCCTGAAGATCTGCACAATGAGCAGGTTGATGGGGAACATGAGGAGAGAGCTCTCAAAGCCAATCATCACTTCCTGCCATGTGAACTCGATCTTACCTGTCAAGGTCAAACAGAGCAGAGAAGAAAAAATAACCCCAGCCAAAATAAACCATCAAGTCTCTTTCTTGTGAAAAAAACCCATTTAATCAACTCTTGCTTCCAGATTCTGCTGTCTCTCTAATTGTCTGCCCAAGCAATGGTGAGGACTGTTACCCAAATCCATTTTCTGCTCAGCAGGATCCTTTGGCACACCCCAGAACATGATGCTGGTCAGCATGGTGCAGAGCAGCAGTGAGAAGCAACAGGACACACGCTGGGCTCGTGTGAAGGAGCTTCGAGGGGAGCGGCTGAAAACCGAGTACCAGATGTGTCCATCCTGGAAACCCTTGGAGGTCTTCATGAAAAATAGATTGCTGGGAAGGAGAAGAGGGAAATCAAATGGATGCATAGAAAGGAGAAGGAAGAACAAAGCCCTAGTTCAGGGTCCCAATCTGTTTATGCTTCTAGGCACTATCAGCAGAAGTAATAACTAGGAGAAATGATCAAATATCATGGCTTGATTTGCATGGAATAGTCATAGCTACTTCTGTCCTTTTCTTTTGGACACAGCATAGGGGGAAAGCAAATAGTTCCTATTTAAATTGTTAAGAAAATTACACTTAAGAGAAGATGTTTGGGTTTCTGTAGGTTTGTCAGGCTATCCTTCTTCAGCACCAACATTTGCAGTATGGTACTACTATTAGGGTAATGACTTATGTAACCATCCTCCCTCTCTCCCTTATTCAGAGCCCTTTAAGGACAGTGGAAAGACCTTCCTGGTTTTCATTTTTGACTTGGGCTTTGGTCTGTATTTTTAATGCTTGTTTTTCCAGACTGACTGCTATCAAGAGAAAAAAAATCCAAGAAATAGGAGGTACCTGAACTGCTTCATGTCCTGTTCTGTTGCTACTGGGAACACTTTCTCTAGGACACATTCTCCAATATCAATGGCTAGCCAAGAGTTACAGAGGAAGTACCATTTCTGATCCCATGCCAGGTCATGGACTAATACTCGATTCACATACCTGTTGGAAAAACACACAGGGCACAGTCACATACCACTGAGTGTGTGAAATCTAGAGCTCAACAAGACTGTGGAGGACAAACTCTGGCCTTCATCTAGTTGGGATGACTAAACTGTAAGGCACAGGACATATCCCATCCTGTACTGGACATGGAATATGATGGGAAGCACTCCTGGTCTTCCACTTTAGGCAGTGATTTGGTCTATTCAGCTGCAAAAACTAGAATCTAACACTTTTTTTCTTTCTAGAACTGCAGAAAGGATAGTTTTCAAGTGCTAGAAAGGGAAAGTTGTTGTCATTATAAAAAGTTTTTCGTGGATTTTTACTTCCCATCATCTCCAGACCTCCACGTACCAGGATGGACTGTCCCCTGAATTATCATGCCACAGTCTAATACTCTGTAGTTCCCCAAGAGGAAAGAAGGTACAGAGGAGGAAAACATCCACTCCTCCACGTTCAAAGACTGGTGTATCAGGATCATTTAGATGGTGAGGCTCACTCTCTCCATCCAGTCCATAGAGGGTGAGAGTCACCTGAAAAATAAAAAGGCAAAATGAAGATTTGCACATCTCCATCTTAAGTGTGATTATTTTTCCTTTCCTCAAACCTAAGGGCTTTCTGGCCAGACAGTGAATTTCAGCTGTCCTGTTCAATAGCCTCAGGTGCTCTGTTATTCATCCAGTTCTCTAAGCAAATAAACTCCTCCCACACAGTGCACTGATACCTTGGAGGTTGTGGCTGCACCACGGCGGTGTCCTGTGAAAACTGTCACAAGGTAACGATACTGAGCAAAGGGGTCATTGTCTTCCAGGACTGTGATTTTCACCTGCAGAGCCACACAACATGGGCAGTGTGTTAGCTGTTCTGTAAGTACAGATTCCTGAAAGCTGTGAGTAGGAATTTGTGATCTTGTGAACAATGTTTACTTACCAGTAAACAGAGAGTTACAGGAAAAGGAGTAAGATTGGTTAAAGACTTCCTATTAAAACAGGCTAGGCGTGGTGGGAATTGACCTGAATACATTTTTTTTAGCTGAAGACTTACTTTGGCATTATCCTGGATGTCTTTCCTTCGAGCCCAAATAACTACAAGCACATATATCAGAAAAATGCATCCTACAGTTGTCACCACCACAGGATTGTCCACAAATGTACCAAACAGCTGTGCTGTTTTGCTGACATCTATGGCATTGGGTATGACAAAGAAGGAGCTCCCAAAGAAGGTCAGATGGTTGCAGAGGCACTGTGTGCTGCTAGGATTTGTTTTTGGTCCTACCTGAAACCCAGAAAAGATTTCTGATAAAACACCTGCTTCAAAGCATTAGATGACTTACCAAGCAAATGAAAAGACAGTGCTGAGATGGGTAAGTTAGTGTAGAGAGCTGCTGCACACCAAATTGTTCAAGTTCCAATAAAGAATATTAATTCTAACACCTGACTAGTAACAGGCATTACAATACATTATGGCCTTGTCAGAATGGTTCCGTTTCTTCTTACATAGAAATTCATCCCAAGAAATGGGAATGTTGTTTAAAGGTTAGTTCAATATGACTAAACTTCTTGAGTTTCTTAAAACATCTCAGAATGATCTTATTTCATGGTGTCAGTTACTACAGATGGTGGTTATGAGGGCTGGCTTTGAAGTGTGTAACAGACACATTGTTTTGTTTTGCTCTACTTACATGACATCCATAGCTGTTCCAGCTTTCCTGGTGCTCGTCCCAAAATACACAGCGGGATGCAAAGCAAGTGGCATTTATGGTTAGCCCATTGTAGACTGTTGAATCTACTCCCATATCTTGTAAAACCAGGAAATAGTAGGTTCCCTCTCCAAAAATGAGTTCTTCTGGGCTGAGAACCCAGCTGTTCATGTCACCTTGAACATAAATATTTTCTTTTCAATGTATATATAGAAAGGCTAATTCACAAGCATGCATGTAGTAAATGAACCAAAGAAACAGGTGTGAATTCATTCTTAGCAACTCATTAATCAAATCAGTCTTTCCTCCTGTTATTGAACACTTTATTCAAGAGACTGGAAATTTGAAGCATGAGGTTTCTTTCCAGCTAGACACCTGAACTCATGGTCAAGGCTCATTCTGCAAGTTCATGAGTCACTAACCACTTCTCTTACCTCCAGAAGTTTTCTTATAGAACAGATGATTTTTCATATCATAGTTGGTTTCATTTGGGTGATAACCATACCCCAAGTAAAGTATTAGTGAAATGTCGTGTTCAGATTCCAGATGAATCACTATAGATGTGTTTTCTGAGGTAATATTGACTTGAAAAGTGCTATAATTGCCCAGATTCAACAGAATCTTATCTTCCTGAGTTGCTGAAAGCCTTGGTAACATGATCTGTTTTAAGCAAAAAGACATAGGTTTAAATACAGAAAAACATTTCTCTTCTTAGCATGCAGCCACATGCTAGATTATCTTTTTTTCATAACATTAGGAAATCATGGCCAGCAAAAATACCACTTTCAGAGTAATTTTCTTTTTAATGTCAACTAACCTTTGAAAAATTAAGTTGAAATCTGTGTAGACTCATCACAAAGCCTAGAGTTAGGGTTAGGGTTAGGGTTAGTGCATTTCTGAACTGAGGACTGTGATTATGACTGAGACACTGGCTGCATAAAGTGCATGTATGAATGATTTAGTTGTCGGTTTATACATGGGCTAGGAAGCCAAAGAGGTGTTCAATAAATACACTAGTTGGTTGGTGAAATCAGACTTCACATTCTGCTTTGGGATGACTGTAATCTGGAATCTATTCCCACAACCATTAGCATTCTTACATTCATTTAAAGGAAGAATAAAATGTCTCCTTTTCAAGAAAAGACAGAAATATTTGTTATTTTTTTCATCACATCACACAAATCCCTCCATGACAACTACAGACAGCATCAGCCCCTTATCTAATGTAATGAACACTACCAGAATTGGTGTTCACCTCACAAATTATAACACAAATGACAGTTTGTTAATGGAGAGAGGAAAAAAATGGGAAAAGAGGGTGAGAGTTAGGAAATAGTAGATTTACCTCAATGTTCTCTTTGAGGTTGCTGACTGGTATGATCAAACCATCCAGACCAGTGAGACTTAGACCTCCCACTGTTCCACTGATGTCAAAACTGCTGTCACTGGAGAAAAAGGGATTCATGGCAAAGCTCACCATCTGTTAGGAGACATTAGCAATCAGACAACTGAGCTATTGTCAATATTTCATTTTATTCACACCCTGAATTCCTGAATAATGATAGAATGAGCTCAGACCCAAATAGAAGGTGACTTCCAAGAAGTCTGCATCCAGATTTAAATAATACTCTACCTTATCTCTAAGGTGGATCTATAAACCTTGAAAGTGATTTTCATTCTGAACTGTGTACAACAATCTTTATTGTTTCCATACAGTGTGACACCTTTTCGGCAGAGTTGGAAAAGGTGAAATGAAAAAAAATGTTTGCAGATACTTTAGGGGTTTCCTGAGAGAGTCAAACCAACCAGAGGGATCTTCAGAAAATTCATTATGAAAATATGACAAATATATGCCATCTATTGTTCTGAGAGAAAAAACACCGTGTCCTAATTCAGATGGGGGCTGTGCTACCATCAGGACACTTGTCTCCTGCAGGATCCAAGTGCCCCACGCTCGGGTGTTTCTTGCTGGGATGAAAGAAGGCTGCTGTAGGTTATTTTGAACGTGATATTGACTCTGAGCTGTTGCATCCTCCTTAGACCATAAGATGTAAACAAACAGCAAACAGATGTGTAGGTCTTGATTCATTCCATTCCCTGCTCCTGCCATGAACGTGTGAATCAAAGTGTATGTAAGGGGCTGATGGGATAGGGAATTTAAGAATTCAGTTGTCCTTAACTTGCTCTACCAACCTCATGCAATTAAGATAAATGAAGGCTTCTTTGACCAATAATTTCAAATAATTTTCTTGGCATGACAGGAGGAATGACACATGCTCGTGTAGTCCTTGTGAAAGGATAAATGATTCTAAAAGCATTAGATCAGGAATGTAAGCTGGATATCACATAGAGTTAGATAAAAGCTGTTTACTTGCCCTTATATCCACTGTTTCACCATCAACTCCTGAAATATTGAGAGAGGAAGCAGGTGGGAGAGTAAAGCTGGCAGAGCTGGAATTGGAGATGTTAATGGATGTGCTATCCATGTTTTCTGTTTGTAATCTGTCCAGTTAGGGTTGGGGAAGACCAAAGCAGAATAAAAGAGAAAAACAATAATAAAAGGAAAAAAAAAAAAAAAAACACCAGAAAAAACCAAAACATCAATACCATGGACTTCATATCTACAGAGAAAGCTTTCCCTCTTCAAGAATATAACTTATTTGCAAAACTATTTCTAAGTCTGCCAGTAAATGCTTTCTTCATGAATCTGTCTCTGATGCAGTACTCTATGTAATGCTACCATAGAATCATCAAAAAAGGGGTGGAATTGGCACATCTGGAGAGGAGGTTTTACCAAGGTGTACTTGTTTGAAAGACTCGGTTTCTGTGTGAACATGCTCTTGATTTGAATGCACAGTTTGATGTGGATGAAAACCAGCCTCTCAGGGAACAATTTAGGGATGATTATAGGGGATGGAAAATGCGTGTCAGGCTCCTCAGGATTATATTTGCTTCTGCCAAGCTGCTTACAGTTCCATATAACATGTCATTATTAGCAACTTGGAAAAGAAAAGAAACCCTTAGCTGGTATGACACGAGTTTTCTACATAATTTCAAAAGTAAGTGACTACTGCCTCATTCAGGAAATTGTAGTAATTCTCTGCTGGTTAAAGAACACACAGCATGGGAATTTCTAAAGTAATGCTCCTGGAGTCCAAACTGTTCTTACTATCAGTCACTAACAACAGACTTGTTGCACTACTGAAATTGTCATTATGCTACAGTATTTAGTTAGTTCCAAACATTGTGTTTAAGCACAATGGAATTAACATTTGTAGCTGTCAGAAGCTTCAGTGGGGGACACTGCAGCTTTTACCTGTGCATGTACATTGTGGCAGAGGGAGAGCTGAGCACTGTTGGCTCATCACCTGGTGCCTTCCCAAACAGAAGGGCACTCTGGAGATTTTCAACTGTACTCAGGAGCTGGTGTGACACTGAACTCTGGAAAAGAATTGGAGGAGGAAACTTACAACAAAGGTACTCAGGATTATCAAGCTGCACATTATTTGTCATTGCTTCCATTTAATTTTGGTGTTTTACTAAACGGACAAACTTGGTGATGAGCTTCCGAATCTCAGAGAAAGCTATTCTATTGCAATTCAGTTTCTGTAATTCTCATTGTGGCAAATAAATGCCTTACAGATTTTGCTTCTGTATTGTAGTATTCATAACTTCTACACATTAAAATTACAAGCATGACATCAATAAATATATTAATGTACTTTTGTGTATTAATGCCCTTAGCTGCACATGTTAGTGTTTTGTTACTTGGAAAATCAAGACCTAATTACTTGTCAATTGTGTATTTTTAGTGGGTTATTGTTGGAAAACTTGTCCAGTTGATAATCTTTTCTCTCAGGTTGGACTTATTTCATCCCTATTCCCTTGCAGTGATAAAATTAAAGTATGTTCAGCCCAGGAAACTCGGTTAGCTGTGACAATTCACATATAGATAGGAAAGGGTAGGACAAAATAGATATGTTGTGTCTTTCTGAACAGATAATCAGAGCTTTCTGCAAAAGTGTCAGCAGCAACCAGAGCTGCTTCAAGCTGTGAAGTAGTGGTGGCAATCATGAATATTTAATACCTGTGGCTTCCTTGAATTATGGGGCAAAAGGAGGGGATAGAAGCATATCTGAGAAAAATCAAAATGTGCTTGTCATCTATTAGAGGTGAGAGCTGATGCTGTGTTCTCTGTCCTGTTCAGCTTTCAGTGTAACAAATCGTAAGAGGCCTCTATCATCTTCATTAACAAATATTCAATCTAACATGTCTAACTGGGGAGAAGTTTCCTCTGATATTCAAGTCTGTCATGGTGTCACAATGAACCTTTCCCAGTGGCAATTTAAAAATACAAGAGACAGCAGAGATTTTAAAAACCTCCCAAAGCAAACAAATACTCACACACAGTACAGTACAAATTGGACCAAATATAAATTACCTGTTTTGCCTCTGGCACTGAAGTGTTCCCAGCTTTCATTTCTACAGAAGCTTTAAGAACACTACTCACTGCATTAAACAGATAGTTGGCTGCTTCCTTTAACTCCTGACCATCTCTGCTGTGCTCTGTGTTTACAGTGAGCAAGGAGGCACTGACATGTCTCAGAGTGTTGCTGGCTTCCACCTGCAGGAGAAACACAGGGAGCCATTTATATGTGCTGGCACTACAAATGACAGAAGTGACACTTGTCATTTACTGAATATTGCAACAGCAGTAATCTTTTGGGACTAATAGTGGGTAATGCCATTTTTAATAGAATTATTTGTGCTGGGGTAATACTTCAAATGCTAATTAAGATGATATACTAGATGGTACACCAAAATGGAATACAGGCATGAAAAATGCAGCCTGCTTCTACAGATGTAATCCATAAAAAGATGAATAAATCTGAAAGAAGCTTGTCTGTCAAACCCTAGGCAAGAATAGCTTTTAGATATATAGTAAAGTAGTAAATTAGGTTATAAGTTTCTATCTTAGTGCCAAAGCTAAGTGCCAAAGGAGAATGAGTTTTACAATTTTTATTTTGTGCCTGGATGCAGCTTTGGGACTGGGAAAGCATTGGCCAGATTTTAGCCCAGGATAGTGAAGGAGCCAAGCAAATTCACTGCAGGCTTGGACACATCCATCCCCCCAGCCTGTGAATGCTGAGCAACCTTTCTGTAGGGTGAGGGCTGGATCTGAGCTGTGTTCTTGTCTTGCCAAAATTAACGACATCCTGCTGAAATGCTCCCAAGCCATTGTCTGGCTCCAACTCTGTAATACATCAGAAATCAGGATGTTTTTATTGCCTGCATATTTGGGAACCTTCCCCCAGTGACAGTTTGTTCTGTCCTGCCATATGCTCACCCCGTAACCATAAATAGCATCATCTACTAATAATGCCTTGTTCCCAGACAGGACTCAAGAGATGCTATTGTGAGACCAACCTGCACATTTGTGCCCAGCTCCTCTGGGTGCTGACATGTTCCTTGACCATTGCCTATGTGTATTTTATGCAGTGCCAGGATCAGGGATGAATGAATGTGGGCAATTCTAGAAAAACCCTCTTGGGGCAGTTCTTCTTCAGGGTTCTAAAAGTGCTATACAAGAGAAAACATGCACCCTGACATGTTTCTGACTAAAAGTTAAGGATTCTGTCTCAAAAATGTATGATAAATGTAATGGTCATAGCCTGGATTGTAGAGATTGCTGAGACAATATCTGAGACTTGAATTTACTTATTCTAAACAGAGTCAAAATACTGCTGGTCAAAATACACATGCTGGTACAGTTGAAAAAAGAGAAGAGATAATTATAATGCACTGAAACTCTTCCAAGGTCAGTGGGATAATTAGAGTCTCTACTATTAGTGTGAGGAGATATAAGATGAATTGCTTCTTACCTGTGCTGAGACAGACAGCTCTTCACTCCTGTAAGTGATTTCTTTCAATACCTCTGACATCTTCAGAGCAGTCTGCATTGATGTTATGTTAACAACAGAGAGTGTTGTCAGCATCAGCCCTCGGAGCTTGGGATGAAAAGGGATAATTAGGCAAAGGAATAAGATGCTAATTAGGACTGTGAAAGTAGCGCTGTGCATTGACAGCCAGGCTTGCTGTAAGTTATGCAGTAGAGTAAGACTCCACAACAAAGATCATTTGAGCTTATATTAGCTCTACTGACAAGATGCCACTTGCCCTAGTAATTATATAATCACGAGTTTTATGTTACCTCCCAGCACAGAGAATTCATACACTTAACATCCATTAAGAGCAAGGAGAGTTACTTGTGAGAATTTGTACTAATGTATGTGAATTACTGTGTAAATGCCACTTCCAGAGAAAGCAGAGCCATGTGTGATTGATGTTATTCAAATAATGAATCTTAATTGAAGGATACATTCTCTAGATCTCTTCATCTGAGGCACTCAAAGCACTGTACAAATATCAGCTTATGACTGAAACATCAACTGGTGGCTAAAAGGGACTAAAGAAAATTACCTGCCATCTAGTGCTTTTGGGGGAAATTAGATAGGATATTTATCCCTCTGGAGATGCCATTTTATTGATATTTAAATTGCTTGGGAAAATCAGGTTTAGATTAACTAGTTTAAATTAATGAAATAACAATTGAGAATTAACTGTTTTACTGATGAATGATAAAACAAATAATTTGTGTAGACAAATAGTGAAAACTAGCTGAGACCTGTGCCAAACACTGAGACAGATGCTAGAAACTTGAAACCTTCATTGATTTCAGGTGGTGATATGTGAGCTTTTTATTACTTAAGAGCTGTCAAAGAATATGAAGGGTCCATTATATGACATTTACTTCAAGAAAGCAGGTGTTTTTCTGACCTCTTTTCGTGTGTTTGTCTGTAAAGACATGTTAAAACTTTCCTCTTGGATCTGCTGATTAAGGACAGATGTCACTGACTTGTACAGCTGGAAGAGACTCATGCTGCTGTTCCCATCTTTTAGGATGGTGTTTGCCTTCTCAGATACCACAGCCTGCAGGGTCAGGTTCCCGTCCATCATATCTGCAGGTCCAACCTGGTGAAGGAATCAGATATGCTTTCAACGTTGCCAAGGCTGTTAAAATTTTCTTTGAACAGCTTCCATGATCATTTTAATAACAGCCTAGATAGAGTGGGACATAAAACTTCATGTTCTCCATTTTAAATGTTGTATTTTTAACGGCCTGATAAGGATCTCCTTACTGTGGCACTGGGGAAGAAGCAGGAGGCTTTTGGGGCCTACACAGAATAATTCCAGACTCAGTAAATAGGCTTACACTGCTCAATCAATGTCCAAACAATTCTTTTAGACTTTTGTTCTAGAAAAAAAGGGCAGTGGAAGATCTTTTGACCTTGAGCACACAGAGAATAGTCTCTGTTAGATGGAAAAATGGTGATTATGGCACATTCAGAAGGAAGCAGTACATCTAAAACAGGAAGAAACTCCAAAAGTCAGTTATGGGTTAGTTATCCACTTGAGAGTTCTTGAAACTAATTAATTCTACTGTGTACCTTCACTGAAGCATTTGTTTGAACTGTATCACCAACGTTGTTGCTAACGATAATTTTCACATGTACAATAAAATTATTTTCCTCTTCTCCAAGTGGAAGATAAACTGGGAAGACTTCAGGATCCGGGCTACAATCCAGGAGAGAATCTGGAACAGGAAAGAAGGGTCAGAGGGCAGACACCACAGACACCTCCTGCTCTCTGAGAACAGGGGACTCAGGGCATGTTCCTTGTGAGCAGTGTCCCTGCAGAGCAGGGCGCGTTGTGCCTTTGCTCTTATCAGAAGAAGCCAAACTTGGCCTGGGGACTTACCTGGTGTCACATAGAAGCAATACGTGAGCTGCCTGCCAGGGCTGGCCTGGCCCGACCCTTCCGAGCCGGGAGCGCTGCAGGAGACTCTGAAGGCGGTGAGCACCGAGCCGTGCCCGGGACTCACGGCACAGCCGGGGGCTTCGGGCGGGGGCACGGTGCTCACCAGGAACCATCGCTCCCCGTAGCCTCGCTGAGTCGCGGCTGGGAGTGGAGGGAGCACAGCGTCAGGCAGGACCGTGCCAGGCAGGACCGTGCCAGGCAGGACAGTGCCAGGCAGGACCGTGCCAGGCAGGACAGTGCCAGGCAGGACCGTGCCCCAGCAGCGCCTAAGTCAGGTCTGCATCGTGCCCACCGGGCAACCGGGCACACGTACGGCAGGCTGGGCTATCGAGGAGTGAAATCCTGCTACTGAATCAACCATAACAGGAAAAGAACTATTTCCAGTATGTTAATGTCTGCATTATAAAGCAAAGGGCTATTATTTGATCAAGCATTTAGCGTAACTTTGTTTCAGGTGAGCCTAAACAAAGTAATTAACAGCTTGGAGAAAGATAACTGAATTTCTCCTGCTGTGTGACACCCCAGAACAAACTTAAATCCTCATTATGTTAAAGAACTTGCATATAAAACTCACTTTCACCTTGTGGACTAATCTACCTTCATATTTGTCAATGAGAATATGCAAGTGTGACATCAATATGATGTCATGCCAGCAGAGATTATGTCAAAGGAGCCTGTAAATCCTAAAAACACTGTTAGCCCATACCTGTTACTTTAATCTGAAAAGCTTCTCCCTGTGTCTGCAGGAAGGAGCTGGTCATTCTTAACACAGATGAGTTGCTTTGAAGCAAATTCAAAGAGTTTTGCCGGAAACCAGTCAGGCCACAGGCTAGAGGGAGGGTTGTAGACTGGAAAATCAGACAGAAAAGAACACATGGCAGTAGAGGCTTTTTGCTGTTCTTTCTGTTGTGATTTATCAGGAGCAGGGTGACAGTTTGGTGCCCTTCATTATAACCCCTCCCAATCCAGACACCCCATTGTCTCAATCTTCACTAGTATTTTCTAAGCATCCACTCGACAAAATATCCCTCTGAGGCCATATGGCTTTGTGGATATTTATTTTTGTGTGTGCAGTATTTCTGACAAATCTGGTGCTCTCACCTTGTTTTGGAATGTGTTATCTAAATACCAGTTATAATATATGGCCTGGGAGTCCTCCTGTCCAGAGACACTCAAAACAACTTCATCACTAACATTCACTGGCTTGCAGTTTGACTCACACCTGTAAGGAAGTAAAATGGGAGTTACACATAGTATGAGATGTTGAGGAGAAATTTCATACATATCTTTTGGCATTTATTCCTGTAGTTTCAATGAGGTTGACACACTGAAATCTCCAACACTAGAAAGATACAGTGGGGTCAAAAACCCTATGTAGTTTTCAGAAGAATGTGTTTAAGTTTGTAAAAGGATTGTGTTCAGAAACATGGACTGAAAAATGCAGCAATACTTATTTGGTCAGTAATTTTTATAATGGTAAGATGTAAATGGATTTTTAACAATAAGTTTTCTTTACTGTGAAGGTGTTGAGGCCCTGGCACAGGTTGCCCAGAGAAGCTGTGGGTCTCCATCCCTGGAAGTGTTCAAGGCCAGGCTGGATGGAGCTCTGAGTAACTTGATCTAGTGGAAGGTGTTCTGCCCATGACAGAGGGGTACAACAATGATCTTTAAAGTCCCTTCCAACCCAAACCATTCTGTGATTTTAGGACTCTATGATTCTAAAAGTACAATACTACTTTATTATCATTATTACTGGAAACAGTGGCCTTGCACTGTGCTTGTGCAGTAATAATATTAACCTGTGAATACCAGGGTTTAAAACCAGACCTGATTTCCAGTTGCAGTTCTTGTTTTTTTGCAGTCACATAGAGACATTGCTCATCCTGCCTCTCTTCACTGCCATGGTTTTGGACAGTAATCCTGACAGTCACTGCTGATTTCGGAGGAGGAAGGCAGGAAGGTGGGATTTGCACCTCACTTTTGTTGATTAGGATTATCTGTTGTTTCACACATTCACTCCAGGCAGGCCAGCAAGCTCCTGCAGAAACATTTCCTTTATAGTTAGGACAGCATCTTATAAAGGACTTTCCTGCCATAAGTTTCAAAGAGCTTTATAGACAAGTTTCTTTAACACAATTTAAATTGTTGGTAATCTGGATTAGAGCACAAGCTTTTCCAAAGTCATGTATCAGGTCAGGGATAATTATGGGGATAGAACACAGATGGCCTGAATCCCAATCCTGTTTTCAGCCAGAAATGTGTTCGCATCGTGTTTAATGTTAATTATTGCTGTTTTATTGAGACACATGTACTTTGCAAATGCCTGTGTAAATCACTTGGGATTAGTCCTTGGCTATGAGAGTGAAGCTTAGGACAGGTAGATCTTGAAAAACTGAAAAACTTAAACCTTTGGGAGAAGACAAAATGGAGTACTATGCCATATTATATACATATTTATTTTGGTCCAAAAACTAGGGTTGAGTAGAAGGACATTCTTCATGTACAGTGAGTGGCAAATTTTAAAGCCAGAAAATTAAGCATCCTTAAGTTAGATTTTCAACACGGGATCTGACACAACAGTGAGTTTGCTACTCATCAAGTACAAGTTGGTGAAAAAAGTTCGGGAAATGCACAAACCACAGGTCCAGAGAAAACTGGAATTATTGTTTCTGTCTGGCCAGCCAAGTGTAACAGTTGTGAAAGGATCCACATGGCGACTTGGTTTAATATATATTTTGTGATCCTAAATAAGAAGTAAATGTATCAGTTAGAACACAAACATGTAGAAACACATACATATGTTGCTTCTTTATAATGAAAAAGATCTGAAAGGTCTGGATGCAGATCTGTAGTTTATATGATCTTTCTCTCAGCAGAGGTAGTGTGGAAGTAGAATCTATGGGAATAGAAGAAGATGGCACAGAAAAATTGTGTGGCAAAATTCTCCCAGATGCAGAATTGGTTTAGGAGTGCAGCTCCCATTTTCAAAACTAGGTACATAGGAAATTAATTCCTATTAAACTTTCACATCTGCACCAAGACTTCCAACCCTTGAGCAACCACTTGTCTTCTGGTGCATTCCTTTTTTATCTTAATTGGATACTTTGCAGCTATAAACAAAGAGGAGAAGGGGTAGCTGAGTTTGTCTTTCTGTGTACCAAACTGTGATAAATTTGGGTTTGGATTAGATTTATATTCCTCTGATGCAATATATTTTTACAGGCAATCTGTAAAGTATGATGGCTTCTTGTGAAGCAGTATATCTCCCATAGCAGATGTCTGTCTGCTAGTGTTGCAGTGAAAAACTAGACTTTTAATATGATAAAATATTCTATCTGGCATTTTTATTATTTAAATTTGGACAGCTGCTAGCAATTGGTATATCATTAACTTCTTAGTTTGCCAAAAACTGGAAGATTTTTCATTGCAAAATAATTTAAACACTCCAATACAGAAGCAGAAAACACTTGGGAACCATATAAATTATATTAAACTCTACTTGAAGGATCACTTTCCAGAGAGGGGTTTACATTAGTCAAGTAGATGAATTAAAAAGTAATCTAAACACATTTTAACTTCCAAAACTGAATTATTGTGATAAGTTAATTTTCTGTAATCTTTTTTATGAATTGTAGATGGAATGCCTGTAAACACATTTGTCTCCAAGACTTGTGGTATAGATTTTGTGTTAGGCCATATGGGGAACAGAACATCCAGTTCATAATTTACTATGCTACAAGTACTTATTTTCCCTGTCTCATACAGCACTTTCACTGGTAAGAAAAATCTCTAAGCAATTTTAGAGAAAGATCCTTAAATTACACTTACATTTTTCTTTCTGGTATTTGTTTTGTAGCTGCCTTCTTCCTTATCAGAATCTGTTTAATTAGAAAAAAAAAAAAAAAAGAACAGAATATTTTAGGGCTACCTGTAAAACTTTCAGACATCCTCAGTGAATATGACTTAAATCCACAGGATTTGACTTCTGACAATGTGAAAGACGGGGCTGTAAGAATCAGACTCTAGAGCTGTGACAAACAGCACAGTCAAATAGGTAAAATGGTAACAACAAGCTCATCACAGACTACAAAGGTGATGATCCTGATTCTTCAAACATAATGGTATAAATCAAAATATATTCACAGAAGGAGATGGAGTTTCACTGATGTGCAAAGGAAAATTGATGGAAAACACTGGAAAACTTTCAGTACAATTAGTGCTAAGGTTATTTTATTGCTGGTATAATCTGCTCTTGTAAATGTGAGGATGAGCCATCTAGAAGCCATTAGTGACAGCAATTTATGAGACTGCTGTGATGCAAATATTTTCTGGTTTCAAAGCTATGTCCCAAGCCATAAACTTCACTCATTATTTCTAGCACAAACAGCAAATGTGCAATGTGTTACATATACAGAGTGATGCTAATTTATGACTACATCAAAGTCAGGGAATCTGCCTCCATCAGGAAGAAGCCTCCACAAAAGTTTTCAGCACTGTTGCTGGAAGGAAAGCAATTACTACATGCAAATCATAAACACTCCATGAAATGCTCTGATTGCAAAAATACACTTACATGGTGAAAACCAGCACTGTCAGATTAATGTAATTACCTTTTTTATGGGAGCTGTTTGCCAACACAGTGATGAATCCAAGATCCAGACTCATGTTTGAGAAGTCATTCATGGCCACCACTTTCACTACAAAAGTACCTAGAGAAGGCAAAGCTCCAGTTAAGAGTAGCCATGGGCCCAATTCAACAGGTTTGAGGTATAATATCCAATTTGTAAAGAAAATCCCCTTCTTTTCTGTTAGGAGTTTTCAGGTGGGTTTCTGATGGGTGTCCACTGCTGAAAGGCTTTTCCTGGCATGTTTTTCCACTTTATCTCAACTTCTGAATAACTCAGCTGCCCTTTTACTAGCCCTTGTCATGCAATTCTTTGTCAGCTGACTATGATATCACAGAGGAAACTTGAGGTGTACAAACACTGGAGGCCAAATGAATTTAGGCATCTTGAGACAGCAGTTATCTTGTTTGAAAATTTCTGCCTACGGAGAAGGGATGTTCAAATGGGTACAGGGAGAACAAATAAAACTTTAATATTGAATAATTTAAAAATATGAAATGAAATCCTAATTAGCTTCTACTGTTCCCAGTTTGGCATGGGGTTGGAATAGCTCATTAGAGGTGAAAACTTCTTTATCTTCTGTCACTGTTAAATAACTCTAAAGCACAATCTGCCTAATTCCACATTTTAAAGCCTTTGACTATGCAATAATGGAAGAATAATATTACTAAAATGTTTATTCATAATTAACAACAAAAGTTATGTGTTGGAAATGGACGTGCAGAAAAACTCCCCTTTTCTTTATCATCTCTACTAAGAACTTCTCAGATTATGAATTACTTTAGTGTAAAATGTAGAGCAGTCTAAACTTGAAACATAATGAAAAAACAGGAGGAAAACACTCCTCATTTGTACTTCAATCAGATGGTGCCATGAAAAAATAAACCCTATGTCTCTTTACTGTGTCTCTTCCACTGCAAGAATCAGCTGAAGCCTTGCTCTGACTCTGTGGAGCAGAGCCATTTGTCAGCTCCAATGTTTTAGCTCACTTACATAGGACTGTGCTGTTCATCCTGCTCTGCAAAGTTTGAGCAGTCAGAAAAGCTGCCAAATTCAGCTGTGCATGACTGTCCCCTAGGCCAGGATGCTGTGACTCTTTATGTGACCTGTGCTCATCTGTGATGCCCTGGAAGCGCAGGAGGTGTCGGTGTGCTGTACCTTCCCAGGGCACGGGAACGCCGTACGTCCGCGGCTCCCCACGAGGGCTGTCTGCTCGGTGGCACTGCGTTCGGTTGGATCCAGTCACCTCAAACATCAGCTTCTCTGGGGCACCACGGGACACAGAGACATTCACCTCCAAATCCTCCCCCAGCTGCAGAGTGTGGGAAGCTACTGCAGCCTGAATTCCAGACACTGGCTCAATTAAATGGACAGCAATAGTCCCAGAGATCTCCGGTGCCATCGTGCTCCTGGATGCTCGGATTTCCAGCTGGTGCATCCCTGGGCCTATCAGCTCTTGAGAGGCCCTGCTGAGTGTCAGGTTATGGGGGACAAGACCTTCCTTTGCACTGGATTCACTCAATGTCATGTTATCTGCTAACACACTGTAGGTTACTCCACTGCCTGCAAAAACACAGATGAAAATTTCTCACAGCTCATGCAGTAGGCCAACAAGTTCCAGCTGCTTTGTGCAGCATTCCAGTGTTTATACAGGAGTCACAAGAACCTGCAGCAATGCAGTCATTTTTAATAAAGTCACTTAAGGTGACTTAATACAAATCTATCGTGTGTTTTCTGCTGGGAATATTTTGAGAAGAGAATTCAAACATACACTACTGATTTTTTTTATTTTTTTCAGCACATATGTGGCTTCCAGGAACTTGAAGTGACAAAGAAATGTACACTAGCAAATGTGTCCAGCTCAGAATGGAATCCTCTTACTCTAATCAGAGGAGCATTTCCATAAATTCCTAACTTCAAACACAGAAATATTCTGACTGGCATCACGTAGATTTTTGTGACTAAAGTTGTGCTTGTGCTGTCAGCTTTGTCAGTAGGAAAAAAGGATTTATCTTTCCTCCAAGGGAATTGAGAGAATAAAATTGCAGGAATACAGCAATTAGAGGGAAAGCATTGACTAAAAAGAATTATAATTTTGCATAATGACAATCCTGCTTCTATCCTAAGGATGGCAATGATATTTATCCTTCCCTTTAAATCATGCAGAGAAATGATCCTCACCTCCACTGAGCTGAACTTGGACCCACAGGTCCTCCCCATAGAGCGTTTGGCAGTGGGAGCTGTTCCCTGTTCCATACTGGCTGTAGCACCCCGTAATGCTGAGCTGATCCTCCTGATCCTGAACTGTCACCTGCCTCTGTGCCATCACGTGCCACTCGCTGGTGGTGCACTCCACAAAAACAGTAAACTCCCCAGGAGAGGAGTACCTGTATGTGATGTTGCTGACCAGTCTAGAATAGAAAGAGAACTTGTTGTGGAAGACCATCCTGGGAAGTCCTTCGCCTTACATGATATCACATCCCCAAATTTCATTCATTCAAACGTCATTCCTACTACTAAGACCAAATCTGATCTTTAAATCCAGCAGAAAAATGCTTGATCTATTAAAGACAGGATTTTTATGCAATAAAATAAAAGAAAAACTATGGAATGTCCTTGTTATATTTTGTTATAAAAAAACCCCACTTTTTAAACTTAAGGAAATACTATTTGCTTATAGTTTGGCAATTACTGACATGTCTTCAGTAATTTTGAGTTTTAAGATCTGGAATAAATAGTCTTAGAAATAGGAAACACTTGTTATAATAGAAGGAAGATTGTGGTTGGCAGCTTAATATAAAATTTTGTATTGATTTCAAAACAGGTTTTTGCAGAATCCAAATCTCTCATAGGTATGTCCTATTATTGAGCTATCTAGTTTTTAACATCTCATTTATGAGACTTGGCACATTCAATAAAGTGCAAGCAATGAAATGTACTGTTTGTCTGAAGAGAAATGAAGGCTGTGTCTTACGTTAGAGGGTAGTAAGGATCAATGGTGTGACCATCTCCAGTGCTAATGGTACAGGAAAGGTTCCCAGAATATGGTGAGAGAAGCCAGATCAAAGTGACTGTGATATTTTCAAAGATAAAACATGTGTCTTTCATAATCAGCTTCAGACCTGCAAAACAGAATCACAATTCAGTCCCAGTGTTTGTCTACTTTCCTTACAAAATTCAATTTATTTTCAGGCACTGAGAGCCAGCATGCCCCAGACCACAGCTGGTACTGCTGCTAATTTGTGTACATTAGTGGTGTGACAGGAGCTGATTCTTTTCCATGACTAGTAATCAAAATTCTTGTTGGAACATAATTTCATCTAAATATGTTTTATGTGTCTGAGTTTCTGGGCTTTGTGTTCTGCCCAAAACCCTCAGTTAGGACAGGGAATCTACATTTTTGTGCCTATTTTCAGTGATCACCACTATTCCAGTTTCTTCCCTGGATGGAAGAGGATGGAACAGTGATTTTTGTGATAAATACCAACGGTCTCAGTGCTACAGCACAGAACAGGACAGGCTTCGAGCGTGGACATCCTCCTCCCGCTTACCTTCCTTGCAGTGGTATTGAATAGACAAATAGCTTCCCAAAGCTGGACAAGGATCTCCAAAGAAAGTGCCATCTGCTGCCACCTGGCAAGCCTGCAGCCCGTGACACTGGCCTGGAAAGGGAGCATTTCAGATCACCGAGTGGCTTTTGCCTTTACTGCCACAACAGCTCAGATGAAAGATGATTGAGAAACAAAAAGGGCAAAAGGAGCAGTATCATGTCTCTGATTTCTAGACAAATTTACACATCACTTTGACTTGAGTGTGTTGCATATTGTGTGGCATTTCCTAGCACCGCTTCACTTTATGGGAACAAAGCTGAATTTGAAAAGGTAGGGGGAAAAAAAAGAAAGAAAGAAAAAGGAAGCTTCTGTGTTTTGTTTCATTTTGGCTGGAAGCCCTAAGAATCTCCCTGGGGACAGGCCACAGTCACTGTTTAGTATCCACCCCTTGGCTCAGCAGGGTGGGTGCCTGACATGTGGCAGACAGCAGCCTGTCCCTCCTGGCCTCATGTCCCTGTGGCTGTCAGCTTTTTCACCCCTCCTGCTTTGGAGTTAGGTTTGTTTGGATGTGTTGCCTTCCATCTCTGTTGAACCTTGTGTATCTCACTGACTCTGTCAAATAATCTGTGCTCACATATTTTCTTGCTACACTAAGAGGAACCAGCCACACCCTTGTCAGGCGCGCCCCTTGCTCTTCATTTGCTCCTCCCCTCCTGTGAATCTGCTCTTCGCAAAAATCCCTCCTTTTGCTCCTCCTATCCTTCTCTGAATCTTTGCTCTTCACAGAACCCTTCCTTTTGCTCCCCCTCTCCTTCTCTGAATCTTTGCCCCTCGCAAAGCCCCTCCTTTCCATCCAGCCTCCTGCAGCAACCTCCTCTCCGTCAGAAGTTCTCTGTGATTCCCTTCATTTTAGGAGCAATCCATTTTCCCATTTGCAAACTCTACTGGGAAAAAAGATAAAGTATTTGAGGCACAAGGAACTTTGGCACATGCTCTGTGTTTCTGACAAGCAATGCTGTGAGACACCACCTGTTACTTCATCCTTGATGCTGAGCCAGCTGCAGCCTTCATCTCTTTCAAACTGCAGAGTCTCTGACACGCAGTAGTGCGGGGTCTTCCGCCCATAGAAGCTCTCTTCAATTTGAATCACTTCTCCTGATCCACACTGTACAGTGGCATTGGAGTTATCACAAGCGATGCTCTGGCCAGATTCTAATAGGAGAAAAACCCCTCAAATATTATCTTTGAATTTCTGAAAAATCCTGATACAATTCTGCTCCGTGTTCATTTTGTTTTGTTTGTATTTCTTCCCTTTTCTCCCTTTTAAGCTAAACAATTAAGAAAATTTAACAAAATTACAGAATAGTCAAAATTAATAGATTTTTGTTTTTACTGTCTTAAAATATTGAGGACATTTTCAATAAGCAAAAATATTTCAATTATAAAAATAGATAGTATTTTGTGAAAAACTCCTAGCATTTGTTTGACCTGAAATACTGGAAGGCTTAAAGTTGCTCCTTACTTCCAAAAGAGATGTATGGATTGCATAATATTCAGGTAATTGCTTTGGAGATATTTTGCATATTAAGTATGGGAGCTGATCCCATTTCTGCTACAGAGACTCCTTTGTTCCTGTGTGATATTTGACTGACTTCATTCAGCAGGACTGCTCAGATGGGTAAGGTCATAGCTCTAAATACATACACCTCATTCTTTGATTAATCTGGGACAGTTAATTATCTTTCAGAATTCTTAGTATCATGTAGTAATCAGGATCCTTAATACCCTGAAGAGGAGGATGTGAATAACTGCTTTCATATGGGAGTGTTGCAAAAGGATGTTTTTGTTTCAGCTGTTCCAGGTTTAAATACATTGTCCTCCAGTTGTTGTTTGGATCATTCCCCTCAAGTCCCTTGATTAACAGTGCCAGTGTGTGCACACTGCAATAATTGTGTGCTATTGTTATTTAAAGGCTAAAGCTAAGCCTGGCTGTAACTATAGCAACATGATCAGTTTGCAGATTAGAGCTCCCTAAATAAGCTTGAAAAATAACTTGCTGGTAAATTCTAGTATGGACCATTATCTCATGCCTTTTTTTGTTCTCTGTATGCAGGTTTCTCACACTTTTTGCTGTCTCAGCAACTTTTACATGGAAAGATGGACAAAACTTGGTCTGTGTTTCTAGGTACAAACCCTGCTTTGATACATATATATTTACTATAATAAACTGCTAACCTACAGAACACCAAATGGTAGAATTGCCTTGATCTGGTCTTGGTTTCCTGGGTAGTGAAATGATGAATGTAGTGTAGAATATTGTTGCTCCTTGAACTTAATGGGCTCTCAGTCAGATCCTATGGTAACAGATGATAGTTTCCTTACAAACAGACAGTTGTCGACTGTGGTTGCAATGGAAAAATAATTTTAGTCTGTTTTTGCAAGAAAAATAAGCTTAAGGGATTGTGCTGTCTGCCAGTTTCTTCTCCCCCAGTCATTTTTAATGTTAGTCATCTTCAGCTAAATTTGATGTATAGATATAAACCTTCAACACCCTAAAATTTCATGAAATGCAATATCTAGGGAGAGGAGAAAGAGCTACATCAATGCCATGGACATGGACTTCAAGTGGCCAGCACATACAGCTGGAGCTCTAGAGCAGCTGCAGGGGAGGGAGCTGAGGCAGTGAAAAGTATTTCCAGAAGTGGGACCTGCTGGGGATATGGGAGTGAACTGGGAGTGCTGAGGAGAGTAGGGAGGGGATGTGGAACAGAAAATCAGGATAACAAACAAAACTTCATTCAAAACTTTGCTTATTGCAGAACAACTCGTTATTTATGTCAGTAGTAGTAGACTGCTGGACAGGGCAGTAGCAGTTCTAGGGCTTGTGGAAACCTGTACTTGCATACTTGATTGGAAGCCTTTTTATATTAGTGAGCCCACAGCCAGACTGTCCTTGCAGTGCTTGTGACCCCAGTTCTAGCTGCAGTTTAAAGTACTCTTGTGCAAAGCGGGAGGAACACAAATTCCCCTCATATCCATATGTTGAAAGGGATGATATTGCCAGCATTCCTTTCCAGAACTGCTTGTTCCAAGTCACAATTTGAGTGACACAATGTCTGTGGATTTTCTGTCTGAGCACAGGAAGTACAGGTTCCTGTCTGCTTCCTTAACCTGGGAAAACCTTGAACTTCACATGGTGGAGGGGTCTCAGAAGAAACAAGAAAAACTTGCTCTCACTTTTGCTCTCTCCAGGCTGCAAGGAGTGGTGCCTCTGGAAGCCTGCCTGTTTTTTTTTTCTTCAGTTACAAATGGAAATTATTCTGGCACACATTAATGAGTGTTTTTATGGTACAGCCATACAGGTCCTATGTAGCCCAGGTATTATGGTGTTGTGGGAGTTTATTCTTGCAGCCATGTTTTAACATAGCCAGCTTATGTCCACTGAAGATGTGGACAGCTACACATTATATTCACTCTCAGATCTGTTTCTATTTTATCAACCCTCTGCTGGAACCCTGGCGCTTAAGGTCTGGTTGCTGAGCACCTACACCTCCCAGTGATTTGTGGGTTCTTCCTTCTTTGGATCAGATCTTTATCAGCACACTGGAAAAAGAGCACCTGCTGGGGTTCTATGACTTTTTGCTTGTTCACATTTAGTAAGATTCATGAAGTAATTTCCCAGCTACTTTGAAAACAACAAGGCAATTTATGCCCCATTGTGATCACAACACACTCACTTCACTGTTCCAGCTGTTGTGTAGCTTACCAAACTCGCAAATGAAGTCAAATTCCTGACTGCAATTTTCAGTCACACCCCACTGATACTTGGCATTCTTCAGGATGTACCCACACATGGATGAGAAGTGAGATGGCTGATCCTTGTACCAGTTACTGTAGATTATATTTGAAGTGTCCAGCCAAGTTATTGACCCTGTGAACAGAGAAATTGTGTCCTGAATGTTTATTTTCTAAGTAATACAATTAGAGTCAGAGCCTGCAGAACAGGACTGTAGCCCTGCTCCTACTGAAGCAGAGATGGTTTAGTCTGGGTAAGGATCTTTAATTGCATTTTATATTGAACCTGATACAATCATGAAAAGAGGCACTGCCATTTCCACCTGTGCTCCCAGCCTCAAGATTTCACCATTTCCCTTGCATCAGACCTTGCAGCACTTCCTAGTGGGATGAATTGGCTTCCACTGGAGACCTAACCCAGCACATTTGTTTCACTGGGTCAGCAAGCTGGTCTCACTCACCATGTGTTCACACAACCACAAGATCCAGTGGAAAGGGTGATAACATGCAACAAGGAAGTGAAGCAGGCAATTAAACATCTTAATAGAAATCTGAAGATACAGCAACAAGAGGCTTTTCAGCAGATATCTACAAAGGGACTTACTGCATTTTCTACCATGTTCAGAAAACATCATGAGCTGATACAATTGTAAAAATATGATTTTAAGACCACTTACCATCAGTAGTTTCATTCAGCAAGGAGTTTGAGATCAGTCCTATCCACCATTCCTGATCCTCAGCAATATGTTTTTGCAAGAACTCTTGAGTTTCCTCATTTTGAATAAAGACAAGATGACCTCCTTCTCTCTCACACCAGCTCTGGGCACCTGTGAAGGTTTGCTGGAGTCTAACAATCTCATAGCATGAATGGTTGAAAGCTTGCTGGTATTTTGAACAAGGTATTCCTTCATCAGTTTCTTCCTCCACAGCCAAATACACAGCATGGGAAATCAGAACTGTGACCCAGAGCCACATTCTCAGCTCAGTGCTATGCATCCCACTGGTCTTGCTTACCAGGACACCACTCTTTTTGTTGCCTTCTTCAAAAGCTTGAGATGTCATCAGCATTCTCCTTCCTCTTTGTTGGTTGCCACAACAGTAGCAATAGAGCACTGAATGGAACAGAACAGAACTTCTAATATATAATTGTGATTGTGCCTGTGGGGTGTTGTGCTGATGCTAAGTCCCTGCACTGAGCCCTGTGAGCTCTATTGTACAACTGTCACATCCCATTTGAGATCAGTTTGAGGAGAAGACATTAAATCATTGTAAAACCTTGTGAGCAGAGAAGATAAAGTTGATATATGCTACTGTTGGACATGTGGAAAAGTGAGATAAAGCTCCTGCATCAAAGGCTTCATTGTGTGAACATTGAAGTTAGGAGGGCTTTACAACAGCAAAGAGATAAAATAGTGAGAATAAAAAAAAAAGAGAAGCATAAGGAGTTATGAGATGGGAAAACACACTGCTTCTCTAGATACATTTAATTGGTCTGGATTGCTTTATTTATAATAATTATTGAGGTGCTTCCTTTAGATGCTAATGCAATGTCTATAATTACTGTGTCAGATCCATCCTGCCCTGCTGTTTATGCATGTGCAGATTCATCTCAGCTGTTCCAATAAAGCTTCATTTTGAACTGTTGTGTCTGCTTAGAATTCCACACCCCAAGTGAAATGCTCCCATCATCCCTTAAAGGATAAGATGCTCAGCTCTTTGGAGCTACAGTATTTTTACCTTCTGGGAGGCAGAAGAGAAGGCTATAACTTAAATCAATGACTTAGGAAAGATGAAAATATTGCTTTAATAATCAGAACTACTTGAGAGCCCTATTAGCACATTCTAAAGGCTGATGATGGACTTTGGGAAACAAGCCCAGCAACGTTTAGGGGCTGAAATCTCTAAATGCATCTCAACTTCCTTATGAAATATATTCAGGTTTACAAAGCCAGCAGCTTAGTAGAAGCACAGTACACATAAGGATTTTAGCTATTGTGATCCTCCTGTCCTTTGCATTAACTCCACTGAGTTTGATGCCATTATTATTAATTTATACCACCATAACCCAAAACTGAAAGAACAGGCACTTATATTTAGACATGGGTCAGTGTGCCAGTTACCAGAGCACAGAGGAATTAGCAGTGTTTGGTGGATTCCTGCAGTGCAGAAATGCCTCCTGCACTGCACTGCTGGGCTGAAGGCAGTGCCCATCCCATCTGAGAGTGAACCTCAATCCCAAGGCCTTTCTGGACCTCCTGTTTATGGCTGTCTTGCTCAGCTGGAAAAAGCAGGACTGTTATCAGGGTTTTTAAGATAAAGTTAATTGGAAAGTGTTTAATGGGTAGGAAAATTGTGGGGGATGAGAGGAAAGGAGAAGAAAATACACTTTTCTGGATGTCTTCTTTCTCACCATGGCTGTAATCAACAGTTCAGCTATGGAGCCCTTGGAGCAGATCCCACATGAATTTCTGATTATTAATAGGGAGAGCTTATGGAGCAGCTAAGAAGTGAATTTTCAGACTGGATTTCCCAGCTCTGGAGAAGGCCAAGCCATATTCTAAATAGCTAATTGGTCCAGACACCCATCCCCTTCCCAGATTAAACTGTAACTACTTTATCAGCTGCTTCTCTTGGGGTTGTCTGCAAATTAGGAGTCCTTTCTGGCCCCATACAAATCTTCACAGGCTTCAGTTTGGGAACACCCAATCCAAGTGTTTTATATTGGAGCTGTTGCAGCAGTCAGAGCTGAGGGCAGCTGCTCTTAAGTTAGTTGGCCCCCGTGTGTTTGCATGATGCTTTCTCCAAACTCCCTGCTTCTTCCTGGGCCCTGCTGACTTGCCAGGCTTCACAGCAGCTGGCATCCAGCCCTCCCACTTTATCCTTCTGGATAAGAAAAACACAGCCTGTTTCTGAAAGCACGGGCGTGATGGAGGACACTGTACTTAAATGTACTGTCTTGGTGATGCAGACATTTCCAGTAGGAGCTCACTTCTATGACAAATGTGTTCTGTAGCATTGTCCAGTTCTTCCTCTGCTGCTGGAAATCTGACTACATGAACATACTAAAAATGCCAGGGCTGAGGGTGCCACAGGCTCTCCCCTGTGAATCTGCTCCAAAGGCATTGAAATTAATGGAAGTCTTGTCTCTGGCTTTGATAGATTTTGAAATAAGCCCTGAAAAAGAACAAATAAGGTTTGGAAATGTCTACAAATAAAGCCAAGTTCTCCAAGTGAGTCTACTGTTGGCAATTTCTATAGCAATGTGCATTTTTTTCCTAATCTACGGTTGCTATAAGTTACCCTTCAGCTGCCTGCAGCAGATGGAGAGTGGAAGAAAGACAATTTCCCTCTTTGGCAGTTTGGTGACTTTTTATACTTTTTATACTTTAGTGCCAGGAAAGCATTCTGTCAGTTTATTGTTTACCACAAGAATGAGAAAAGCATTTACCTGAAAAGAAAGTGCTGCTTTTAAGGCATCAAAATTAGCAGCTAGGATCTCCAGGAAGAGAGAAACTTCTGAAAATCCTTTTCACTCATAAGTGAGAACTCACTTGATGTCAGGTAAACAGTGCTTCTTGAACTTACCTGCTTGTGGGAAACATGTCTTTTGCATTCTTCGTCAACAGAAAGACTTTTTTTAAAAATAACTTTTTATGCAAGAAGTCACTGTCTTTGGATGGTCCTGGTCTGCACCCCAGTGCAGATCACAGATCACAGCTGCATCAGGACAGCCTGAGAATGTCCTGTAATTCAAACTGCAGCACTGCAGAATAGCTTGACAATCCATAATAGAGACCAGAAAGTGCTAGATTTGAAGAATTAAGGAAGTGAAGAGCTGCCAAAGAGAAGGAATAAATCACACCCCTGTTCATTTTGGCTGTTGTTCATTTGCCTTGAGGAAGAGCAAGTGAATTTACTCTCTATAGGAGGATATTACCATCTTTACATTCCTGAATATTAGTGAATGTAATACTGATTTTTATCAGGAATATAAACATCTCTGTGTTTAATTTATTAATTGAATAAACATAAAAATGGAAAACTTATTTCTATTGCTTTGACTTTGAGGTAGAAAACAGATTATTTTCAGGTATCATGTATTTGAGACAAGATTATGAGTAGTTCATTTTACTGTGTCATGTAAACTTGTGCAGTGTGAAGAACATTGTTACCCTGATAGGTAGGAAGTACTGAGTCCTGAGCAGACTCTACACCTACACCTACACCTTCCATCTCTTCAGCTGTCTTTAAAAATGCCCATCTGCCAATTAGTTTAAGGTGGATCACAACCCCACTTCCTTCCTTGCTGCTCTCCTGTGCTGCTTATCCTGATGGTGAGACCCAGCTCTTGCTGACTGAAAAAGGGTTTGGTCTTGTTGTTGCTTCTACTGTCTAATTTTCCATGAGGCAACACACTGAACTTACCAGTGATCCCTGCCAAGTTGCAATTTTGATGTTATCTTGTTTATAAAATCAGGGAAAACAATTCTTATCTGTACAAGGTGCAAGAGTTAAATTAGACATTCATGGCTGGCATGATGAGGTCAGGATAAAGATAAGTAGGATTACTTCAGGAGCTGTTGGCTTGAACATAATTTCTGTTTATAAGATGTGAATAGTTACTTGGATAAGCTGTCACCTGGATAGGTCCCTGGGGGTCTTCTCATAGGAACTGTCCCCTTGGAAGTGTCTGGCAATGCCTTTAGGCTCATGGCTGGCCTTTCCTCACTGCCACAGTTGATGCCTCAGTCCCTCCCTCTTTCCCAGCTCTTTCCCCTGTGTTATTGCCTTCAGAGCAGAACTTTGACTGATAGGAAGAAGGGGATGAGTGGGCCCCATAAGAACATTTATTGAGCTGGGGTTATTGGTGGCCAAACTGAGCCCCAAGTTCACACAGAAAGGAGCAGAGCTATCTCAAGAACCTGATGACACCTCATGTGTCCTTGTGATCGTATTTGACTAAGTGGCACAATTTAGATCTGCCATTGCCTTAATATCTTAATTAGAGAACTGTTCAAAGTGTTAAAGGTGCCCTCTTTGGGTAAAATATTAACTGGTAGATACAAATGGACTGGACTTTGCCCACCACACACAGAGGTAAAATAAATTGCTTGGATCTGAATTTACAGCCATCATTTTCAGCCACTGTCTCTGCACTCTCTCCAGATTTCCATAAGTGTAAAACTGGCCAGACTTCTAAGGTGTTTCAGTTTCCACTTCTTGTTTGTTTTATTTAATTTGGTTACACATTTTTCTTCTGCTTGTTATGAGCTATTTCAGAGCTTACATGGCATGGAAACAGGGAGGGGAAAAAACTCTATTACAAGTTATTTTCATTGATAATGTCTCTTACAAGTAGATTTCCAACAGCTTACAAGAGAGATCAGCTTCACAATCCCCATAATGAGAGGACTGGAGGCCCAGCAGCCTCTCTGTTCAAGAACACTGCTTTTGTGCTAAGCCCTCTACACTCAGTTGCCATTTACTAAAACCAGAAAGCAGTCCTTTTGAGTTTTTCTTTATGTTCCCCCAAAGATGTACATTAGGCTACTAGGTAGGATAGAGCAGCAACATTCTGTCATTGTACCCATTTGTGACCCCATTTCTACACCTTCAGTCATGGAAGTGAGTGCTGACTTTCACACTGTCATTCTGCCCACTTGAAAACACATGACTGAACTGTGTAATTTACATATTAAAACATGTAAATAGGGATGTTGAAAGGTGCAAATAAGATTCTAGAAGTCTTACAGCAAGGAAGTTTATGTGGGCACTGTGGTTGTTTATTTGTTTTCATGTCTAGTGTTTAAATACTTGGGCAGGCTCAGTCTGATGGATACTCAGGATGGGTAGGCCAGCAGTTCCATGCCTCAGCACTTGAAGAGTTTTAATATTAAGTTACTTTATGTATTTTTTTTTTAATGAACAATTCAATATTTCTCATGGTAGGTATTAAAACTATGACTGTAAAAAAGAAAGCAATACTTCTGTTTATCAAAGAAATTATGAAATCCCACAAAAAGCTCCCCTTCCCCAAAATTAAAATCTTATAAAGGAAATTAAAATCT